TCGATGGGACCTTTCCTGATCATGTGACCAACGTGATGGCGTGTCACGGAGGTCACATGACCCTAAACCCTGCCCCGCCTCCCGGCTTCTGAAACCCTTAAAGGGCCGGGAGGCGCCGGCGCCAAGGGGTTAATGACAGGTTCTGTGGCTGATTAAGGTGGTCATTGAACTCATTAGTGCCTTATCTGCATTCAGAACCCGTGTCATTAATATGTGTTTGGTTTCAGCCCGGGTACACACTGGGTAGTCCGGCTTCAGTGCGAATTCCACACCGCATCAGAATCGCACCCCGTTCATGCGAACCACTGCGGGTGTGTATGTTAACAACACCCCGAAATCGGTCCGCAAAACGCAGTGCGATGTGCAAAATGGATCGCATAGGTGTGAATACCCGTGTGATCCAATTCTAGTGCGGACCAAAAAATGGGTCCTGCGCCTTTTTTGGTGCAGATAAGGTGCGATTTGAGCCATACAAAGTGTATGGCTCAAATCGCTCCGCACACAATTCGCATTTGTGATTTGCGCAGGAATGTGGTGCGGTTCCTGTGCGAATCACATGCGATATGCCGAACCGCTGCGGGTGTGTGAGTGAAGTTAACGACACCACAAAAATCGGTTTGCAAAACACGGTGAGATTGGCAGAATCAGATCACATGTAGGGTTGCCACCTCATCCCTTTAAGCTCGGGTTCACACTTTGCGGTGCGGGGTATCGCATGTGATTCGCACGAGAGCCGCACCTCACAAGTGTGAGCCCGACCTTTAAAAGGATGAGGTGGCAACCCTACATGCGATCTGATTCTGCAAATCGCACCGTGTTTTGAGAACCGATTTTGTGTGTCCTTAACGTACACACCCGCAGCGGTTCGCATGAACAGGGTGCGATTTTGATGCGGTGTGGGAATCGCACAGAAAACTGCAAATTCCACACCTCACTGGTCAGAACCGGCACTGAAAGGGCCCCATGACTGAGCTGAACTCACCCCTTGCCTGGGAAATGACCGTGATTGGCCCATTAGTGTTCATGTTTAGGACACCTGTCCTCACACCCATCAGTACTCATGATAGGAAATGCTGCCTTGGCTTGGGTGCTCTTGTTTGACCCAATATTTATCTGCTTTGTGCAGGGGCGGACTGACAACTCATGGGGCCCCCGGGCAATAGGGGATTATGGGGCCCCTGTATCCTTGCCCAAACTCAAAAAAGCCTATGAAAAAGGTACCAGGGGCATCTCATGGGGCCCCCGGGCAATAGGGGATTATGGGGCCCCTGTATCCTTGCCCAAACTCAAAAAAGCCTATGAAAAAGGTACCAGGGGCATCTCATGGGGCCCCTACTCACCCCGGGCCCTCGGGCAGTGCCCGAATTTCCAAATGGTCAGTCCACCCCTGGCTTTGTGTATACCATGTGTGACCCGACTGGTTCTGACCCTGCTGTTTCCTCGCTGCTGATTTTGTACCGTTTGGATTCGATCTACACATATGTGACCCGGCTCGTCTAGACCACGCTTCTGCTTGACCGTCCTGTTTCCAGACTCCACATTACAATTTGGCCGTCCTGACCGGCTCCTGCTAAGCACCAGTCTCATTCCTGCTTTACCTACAGTGGTGCACCACAAGTACCAGCAAGCCTGCTCTGCCTACAGATCTGCTCATGGTATGTGTCCTTTATATTACTGAACTATCAGCACATCTGAACTCCTGGCCTCTTGTGTACAAGGCTCCATACACACTGGGGGGGGGTTTAATAACGCTGGTAACATTAGCTGTGCAAAGTTTAAAAACACGATTTATTTATTTATTTATTTTTAGCGTTTTTTTGCATTAGCATTTAGCTGCTGTCTTTTCCTGTGTTGTAGTTGTGTTTTTTTTTTGTTTTTTTTTTTTTTTTTCTTTTAGGGTTTTTATTTTTCTATCAAAGAAAAAATTTTTTTTTTTTTTTTTGCTCAAAAAAAGTTCCCAAACGCTGCATTTTGCAGCTTTTTTACAGCTACAAAACTCCTCTAGAAACCCACTAGTCCTGGGCAGGGGCGGACTGACAACTCATGGGGCCCCCGGGCAATAGGGGATCATGGGGCCCCTGTGTCTTTGCCCAAACTCAAAAAAAGCCTATGAAAAAAGTCTTATGGGGCCCCCTACTGACCCCGGGCCCTCGGGCAGTGCCCGAGTTTCCAAATGGTCAGTCCACCCCTGGTCCTGGGTTTTTTCCAGCCAAAAAACATTGATTCCAGTCTGTGTGTGTATGGACACCTAGGATAACATGCTGGGGGGTTTACTGGCTGTAGAAAAAAAAAAAGTCAAAAGCCAAAAACAGAGCCGCTGTAAAAACGTCCCGTGTGCAGGAAGACTGATGGAGGTATGGGAGAGGATTGTGTCTGATGGGTGAAGGAAGGAAGAAGATGCTATGTTGTTGTTGGAAATATTCCTCTCTTTAATATTTGCACCGGTTTATAGTCCCTCGGGTTTGTTTTTCTCATTGAGCCTCTTTGTGTACTTTTCTGCTTTCACTGGCCCTTTATCATCGGCATATTTATTATGATTTTATGAAAAAAGCAAACATTTTAGTACATGTCTATTAGGTCGCATATCCGGCCCCTGGCAAGATCTTACCTGGCCTGCAGCAGGGTCAGTGGTGTATCCTAGGATGTGCCCATTTTAAGATCTCCACTTCAATATTCCCCCCCCCCTTCCTATGTAACAGGGGACCCTGATGTAACGGGGAACTCTGATGGGGACCCTGATGTAATGGGGAACTCTGATGGGGACCCTGATGTAATGGGGAACTCTGATGGGGACCCTGATGTAAAGGGGAACTCTGATGGGGACCCTGATGTAAAGGGGAACTCTGATGGGGACCCTGATGTAAAGGGGAACTCTGATGGGGACCCTGATGTAAAGGGGAACTCTGATGGGGACCCTGATGTAAGGAACTGGGGATGCTGATGTAATGGGGAACTCTGATGTAAGGAACTGGGCCCTGATGTAAGGAACTGGGGATGCTGATGTAAAGGGGAACTCTGAAGGGGACCCTGGTGTGAGGGGGGAATCTGACTGGGGCCTTAATGTAAGGAACAGGGAACTCTGATGTAAGGGGATCCTGATGTAAGGAACAGGAGGCTCTTGTTGGGACTCTGATAAAAGGGAGGAGATGCTGGTGGAGACTGTGATGTAAGGAAACTCTGCTGGGGACTCTGATGTAAGGGGGCATTTTGACAGGGGACTCTGATGTAGGGGGGATTCTGAGGTGAGGGGACTCTGATGGGGATGCTGTTGTGTTGGGGGCTCTGATGGGGAGGGGGGAATACCGGTGTAAGGGGGGGCTTCTGATAAGGATGCTGATGTAAGGGGGAACTTTGATGGGGACCCTGATGTAAAGGGAATTCTCAGGTGGGGGGACTCTGATAAGGATGCTGTTGTAGGGGGGACTCTGATGGGGACCCTGATGTAGGGAGCGGGGGACTCTGCTGAAGACCCTAATGTAAGTGGGTACTTTGATAGGGACACTGATGTAAGGGGGGATTCTGATGGGAACCTAGATATAAGGGGGATTCTGAAATGAGGGGACTTGATGGGGATGCTGTTGTAAGGAGGGACTCTGATGGGGGCCCTGATGTAAGGAACTGGGGGGACACTGATGGGGGCCCTGATGTAAGGAACTGGGGGACACTGATGGGGACCCTGATGTAAGAGGGGGACTATGATGAAGACCCTGCTGTAAGTGTGTGCTTTGATGGGGACTCTGATGTAAGGGAAGCATTCTGATGGGAACCCAGATATAAGGTGGACTCTAAAGGGGGTTTATGTTGCAAGAGGGGGCTCTGATGGAAACCAAGATATAACCGGGATTCTGAGGTGGGGAGGGACTCTGGTGGGGACCATAATGTAAGGAATGGGGGGACTCTGATGAAGACACTTTTTAATTGGGTACTTTGGGGACTCTGATGTAAGGGGGGGAGGGTTGATGGAAACTCAGATATACAGGGGGATTCTGAGGTGGGGAGGGGCTCTGATGGGGACCCTGATGTAAGGGGGACTTCGATGAAGGAAGGACCCTAAAGGGGAACCTAAGATAAGGGGTGAACCTGATGTAAGGGGGGATTCTGATGGGAACCCAGATGTGGGAGGGGGGGGGGAGACTCTGATGGGGACCATAATGTAAGGAACAGGGGGGACTCTGATGAAGACCCAGATGTAAGTGGGGACTCTGATGTAAGGGGGGGGAGTGTTGATGGGAATTCTGAGGTGGGTGGGGGGCCCTCTGGGGACCCTGATGTAAGGGGGACTTCGATTAAGAAGAAAGGACCCTAAAGAGGAACCTAACATAAGGGGTGAACCTAATATAGGTGGGAATCATGATATAAGGGGGGATTCTGTTGGGAACCCAGATATAAGGGGTATTCAAAGGTGGGGGGGGGACTCTGAAGTCTCCATCAAGGTAAGAAGGACTCTAAAGGGGAACCTGACCTAAGGGGTGACCCTATTGTAAGAGGGGTTCCTGATGTAAGGGGGGATTCTGTTGGGAACCCAGATATAAGGGGTATTCTGAGATGGGGGGGGGGGGGGGGGGGGGACACTGTTGGGGACCCTGATGTAAGGGGGACTTCAAGATGAGAAGGACTCTAAAGAAGAACCTGACCTAAGGGGTGACACTATTGTAAGAGGGGATCCTGATGTAAGGGGGATTCTGATGGGGTATTTTATTATTCACCCTGTGGATATTTGTGAAATCTATGATGTGGCCCTTGGAACCCAGATATAAGGGGTATTCAGAGGTGGGGGGGGGGGGGGGACTATGATGGGGACCATAATATAAGGAACAGGGGGACTCTGATGGGTATTTCTTTTTTTCACCCTGTAAATATTTGTGAAATCTATGATGTGGCCCTTGTACTGAAATGTTTGGAGACCCCTGCAGTAACTTCACAAGTCTTTCACAAATTAGAAGTTGTGCTCCGCGCACCCTGTATGAAGAAGTCCTTGTCACCAAGAACATTCCATCTCGCTAGGACTGAGGGACAGCAGATGGTTCAGTCTCATTGTGGACTCCAGTTTTCTGTTGGCAGAAGGTTGAAGTCTCATCGTGGACTCCGGTTTTCTGTTGGCAGAAGGTTGAAGTCTCATCGTGGACTCCGGTTTTCTGTTGGCAGAAGGTTGAAGTCTCATCGTGGACACCGGTTTTTCTGTTGGCAGAAGGTTGAAGTCTCATCGTGGACTCCGGTTTTCTGTTGGCAGAAGGTTGAAGTCTCATCGTGGACACCGGTTTTCTGTTGGCAGAAGGTTGAAGTCTCATCGTGGACTCCGGTTTTCTGTTGGCAGAAGGTTGAAGTCTCATCGTGGACACCGGTTTTCTGTTGGCAGAAGGTTGAAGTCTCATCGTGGACACCGGTTTTCTGTTGGCAGAAGGTTGAAGTCTCATTGTGGACTCGGTTTTCTGTTGGCAGAAGGTTGAAGTCTCATTGTGGACACCGGTTTTCTGTTTTTGAAGTCTGTTGGCAGAAGGTTGAAGTCTCATCGTGGACACCGGTTTTCTGTTGGCAGAAGGTTGAAGTCTCATCGTGGACACCGTTTTCTGTTGGCAGAAGGTTGAAGTCTCATTGTGGACACCAGTTTTCTGTTGGCAGAAGGTTGAAGTCTCATTTTCCGCAGGTGGTGGTTTTATTCTGCCAGCCTCTGCGCTGGACACGTCCGTATAGTTCAGCTCGTATGTCTCCTTGCTGCTGCCCTGCAGGCATCTGATGAAGGAACTGCACGAGTCCTTGAACTTCACAAAGTCTTTGTAGGTGTTCTCGCTGGCAAAGCAGTAGAGCATGGGATCCGCCACGCAGTTGAAGCTGGTGAGAAGAAGTGAGAAGTGATACACGTTGAAAATTTTTGATGCAAAGGAACAAGTTTTCTCGAACAAACTCCGAATGACCACAAGGATGTGGTAGGGACCAAAGCAGACCAGGAAAATCATGACTGTACTTAGGACCAGCTGCTTGATCTGCAGCTTTTTCCTGGTCTGCGTACCTTGGCTCTTTCGAACCACTTTAAAGATCCTACAGTAAGAAAACAAGAGCAAGAAGATCGGGAAGAGGAAACCCGCGAAGAATCGATAATAATTAATACTGTGCTCCCAGTTTTTGATGGGGTAGTGCTCAAAGCAGACTATGTGGCTGTCCGGGTCCTTGCTGACCTCCCCGTGCTCAAAGAAGATGTAACTGGTCAGTAGTTCCTTCAGCCAAATGACCACGCTGATTAGAATAGCCGCTTTCATTGTCCGGAGTTTGTGGAACCTGAAAGGGTGGACCAAAGCGAGGTACCGATCCATGGAAATGCAACACAAGAAGGCAATACTGATGTAGATGTTCTCGTAGAGGAGAATGCCGCAGATTTTGCACATGGTCTCATTATAGGTCCAGTCATCATGCTGGAGGACATATTGGAGCCAGAAAGGCAAAGAGAAGATGTAGAGGAGATCGGCCAGGGTTAGGTTGACTAAGTATATTCCTAGTTCATTCTTGGCTTTGATCTGTTGGTAGCCGTAATACAAAGACACACAATTTGCCGGTAGACCAATGACGAGTACAGTCACGTACACGACAGGGGAACAGTGTTTGGTGTATGGTGTGGTCAATTGTGCAATAGGTGACGTTAATGTCGTCCTCTCTTCCGTTCCGTTTCCCATGACCTTGATGTTCCAGTGTCATATCTTCTCTATTTCTATGATCTCGAAGGTTTACAATGTGTTCTTGGGAACCTGTGCAAAGATGAAAGGTATTTATTTATTTTGCATAGATAAAGCATTTAATAGGAGCTTAGAATTCTGGCTTTGGCCCAGCTGAACTATAGAAAACTCCCTTCCCTCATCTCCATACAATGAGGCAGGGGTGTTCTGAATTCCAGCAGGGGAGAAACTGGGCAGGACTGCTTGGGATTTCAGTACAGCAGACGCGTTGTCAGCTAAAACAGGAACTTATAAATAAAATATATTACAAACCACTTCGTTTTCTGTTTTGGCATGTGGTAGACCGCATCTGTAATGGAACTGGACCCCGACTGCACTAGGGTATTTCCGTTAGCCTCCCGCTTCCCTGTCCGAACACAGATCCACGGACACCACCGCTGACCATACAAGACTAGAGACCACCAGACTTGAATTAAACCAGGAAATAGACTGCTTTATCTTAACACATACACAAGATATAAACATTCAAGGGAACAACCCCCCTCCCTGCATATGGACACAGGGCGTGGCAAACCACATCTAGCAACCAGAGACACATCAGCAGACACCCCCCCCCCCCCCCCCACCAAGCCAATACACCAACACATACAATCCATAATAGTTTGCTCCCAAGCAAGACACACAATAGAACAATGGGACGACCATGTGGCAGTAAACAATGAACAACCCCCATACCCCACCTATACATGTCCACACAATATCAGGGCATTCTACCCTGTACCCCTAACAGGCACAGGGTGACTTACACATAGGAGGGATATGGGGAGCTGAGACAGGGGTCTCCCCACCTCTCCAAAGTGACCTGTGTTCCATGGGCCCCCCACCCAAAGTCACTCCTATCACAGCATCTTGCCATCTTTTAGCTTCTGTATTATGCAGGTAAAACAGACCATTCTTAAAATGTGTGAATCCATTCTTAAAGATAAGTTTTATATACAGGGGCGGACTGACCATTTGGAAACTCGGGCACTGCCCGAGGGCCCGGGGTCAGTAGGGGGCCACATGAGATGCCCCTGGTACCTTTTTCATAGGCTTTTTTGAGTTTGGGCAGGGACCCCATGATCCCCTATTGCCCGGGGGCCCCCATGAGTTGTCCGTCCGCCCCTGGCTATATAGTTAGTTCTTCTCAGCCAACAAGCGACAGCCTTCCTCCTATTTTGGGCCTATTTGTCTTTCTGTCTGCTTTTATTTTTATTTATTTCAGGTACTTATATAGCGCCATCAATTTACGCAGCACTTTACATATATATTGTACATTCACATCAGTCCCCGCCCCCGAGGTCCCTAGCGTACAGTCTAAGGTCCCTAACCCTCAAGGGGCATACAATCTAAGGTCCCTAACCCTCAAGGGGCGTACAATCTAAGGTCCCTAACCCTCAAGGGGCGTACAAACTAAGGTCCCTAACCCTCAAGGGGCGTACAATCTAAGGTCCCTAACCCTCAAGGGGCGTACAATCTAAGGTCCCTAACCCTCAAGGGGCGTACAATCTAAGGTCCCTAACTCACATTCATACATACACACACTAGGGACAATTTAGACAGCAGCCAATTAACCTACCAGCATGTCTTTTGGAGTGTGGGAGGAAACCAGAGTACCTGGAGGAAACCCATGCAGGCACAGGGAGACCATGTAAACTCCAGGTGGTGCCGTGGTTGGGAATTGAACAAACGACCTGAGTATTGCCAGGTGGAAGTGCTAACTATTTACCCCCGGTTCACATCTATGCGGACCACGTTTTGCACGGACACAAGAGCCCATTCATTTGAATGGCCTCCCGTGCCCATGACACACAGAGAAGTCCCCGCACTACTGTGGAAAATGCAGCCTGGAAAATGCAGCCCGCACGCGAACCGTGGTTCCCAGTACGGCTGCGTTTTCCAGTGCGGGCGGCGTGCCATTAGAATTAATGGCACCTGCCCGCGGGTCTGCATTCCTCTGTGAGGGTGGTGCGGCTGCACTGATTTCCGTGTGGATCTGCAGAGGCACCACACCCGCACAGATGTGAACCGAGGGTTAGCCACTGTGCACAGCTAGGCTCTTGCTGTTGGAGACAACGGTTTGGGGGGGGGGGGGGTGGAGTGCATGGCTTGGCAGTAGTGGATCAGTCCTATAGCTTTTGAAAATAAGTTCTGGATATAAAGTGTATTTATAGCCCTACCTTTTCCCTTTTTTGGGGGGGGGGGGGGGGCTGTCAGGTTGGCTGTATGGGGTCCTGTGGTTTCTAACAGCCGCCCTAGTGCCAGCAGCAGGAAAGAAGAGATCTTCAAGTCAGTGTGAAGCAATACACTGGGCATAACAGTATAAGGCTGCTTTCACACTGAGCTGCTGCGGTTTACCCACACCACGGATGCAGTGCCATGTACCTGCAGCTTTCCTGCGCTTAGCCATAGACTTCTATTATAACCTGCGGGTTTGGTGCAGTTTCTGAAAGCCGGAACGTGCCTCACACCTGCAAGATATAATTCGAAGTCTATGGCAAAGCATAGCTAACCCAGAAAAGTTGCAGATGCACTGCGCTGCACCCACGGTGCAGGTAAACCGCAGCTCACCAGTGTGAAAGCAGCCTTCTAATAGAGGGCTCAGAACAGTAAGGGTTCATTTGCAGTTTGGGGGGGGGAGGGGTAAAACCACATAGTTGTGTTTTACCACCCCCGTCCCAACCGCACCCCCTTAAGCATGCTGCAGCAGGAGTTATACACCCTGCTATGGTAGGTACCTGCCAAACATGAGGCCGCTCTGCAAGTGCCCTGCAACCTTGTGCAGCAAACAAGGGGTTAAACAGGCAGCATTGTGCCGCTTTCTCACCACCGGCTTTAACCCCTTGGACCCCGCAGATGGATGCAGTTGCGGGGTGCTTGCACAGTGCCCCATTTATTTGAATGGGTTTTGATTGGCAGACAGGAGCACTCGCCAAAAGTAACCGAAGGTTTAATTCCTGCAGCGGCACCTGTACACCTTTTGGTTGGTGGTAGGGATTGGGGGTAGTAAAACCGCAACTCGACCACAAGGTTTTACCACCTGAAGTCTAGGGGGCGGATGTGTGGCCTTTTGGTTTCTTCCTCCCCTGATCCCTAGGGGGTTTTCTCTTCGGGAGAGCCCCCTGACCAAGTACTGAGTGTCCGGCTTCGGCTGGACACAAGGAACGGTGGTCCACCAGGCCTTTTGGCAAGGAGGACCAAATGGGAACCTTGTCCCTGTCAGGAGCTTCGTGCCTCGGGGGATCAGGGTAGCGGTCCAGCCCCTTTAGGGGTAGGACAAAGCACACCCCTAAGTGCACTTTTTCGTGTGGTGTTTTACACTTGCACTTTTTTTGTGATTCACTTACGGGTTTTTTCGTTATAGTTGCACGTTTGCGGACTTAAAAAAAAAAAAAAAAAAAAAAAGGTTTTACCACCCCTCCCAACTTTACATGTGAACGAGCCCTGTGGTTGCTGCTGCCGAATGCAACTAAGGGCTCATTCACAAGTGCAGCAGACACTGCTGCTCCTCTGAAAAGCAATCCAAGTGGTGAGGAGGAGGGTAGGTTGCCTCTTCACCACCTGATTTGTGCAATGCATGTGACTGCGACATGGTAGTATGACAATGAGAGGTATAAATCGGGTGTGAGGAGGCGACACTGCGCCCGGGGATCTGTAACTTCTCCCACGTTCACATAGATCTTCACCTCTTTAACCCCTTCACGCCGGATCGTCCCGGCGTGAAGAGGAGTTCCTGCACCGGGAGGTGGGCGGGGCTTAGTGTCATGTGGCCGCTGTGACGTCACGGCCGGTCACATGATCGGCAAAAAGGTCCTGATCGAAAGAGCAGACCGGGACCTTTCCGTGAATACATCACGTGTGCTGGGAGCATGCAGGGCGCGCGCGCTCTCAGCACATATGTTTTTTTTTATATGAACGCAAATGTGCGGCCGCGCTCGGTGTCTAGGCCCAGATGCCGGGAGGTCGCACATTTGCGTGAGGCCGGCGTGAAGGGGTTAACCTCTTGCCAATCGCGCTATAGCCGAATGATGACTACAGCGCAGTTGTCCAGTCCTGGGAGGGCCTCATATGACTTCCTCCCAGAGCGTGTGCTTCCGTGGACGCGCAACCGGAGATCTCCATAATTGCTGTGTCCTATGGACACAGCTGATCACATGATGTGGTAAAAGGCCAATCACACACAATGACACAGAAGATCTCCAGTAAATCCAGTTGCCGGTTATCGGCTGCACTTTCCTCACCCTGAGGTCACAGCTGAGGAAAGTACTGTCCCAGGGGCGGACTGACCATTTGGGAACTCGGGCACTGCCCGAGGGCCCGGGGTCAGTAGGGGCCCCATGAGATGCCCCTGGTACCTTTTTTTTTTTTTTTTTTTTTTTTTTTTTTTTTTTAAAGGCTTTTTTTGAGTTTGGGCGAGGACACAGGGGCCCCATGAGTTGTCAGTCCACCCCTGGTACTGATAAAAACTGGCAATTTCAGTGCCCTGATGATCAGTGCCACCCAGCAGTGCTGCCAGTCAGTGACGCCCACCTGTGCCCAGCAGTGCCACCCACCTGTACCCAGCAGTGCCGCCAGTCAGTGACGCCCACCTGTTCCCAGCAGTGCCATCCAGCAGTGATGGCAGTCAGTGCCGCCCAGCAGTGCCGCCAGTCAGTGCCACCCACCGGTGCCCAGCAGTGCTGCCAGTCAGGGTGACCTATCAGTGCCCATTATTGTTGCATATCAGTGCAGCTTCACCAGTACTGCCTATCAGTGCAGCCTCATCATCGCACATCCGTGAAGGAGAAAAATTACCTGTTTGCAAAATGTTATAATCGAAACAAAGAAAACCTTTTTTTTTTTCTAATTTAATTTTTTTGTATATAGCGCAAAAAATACCACCAAAAGAAAGCTCAATTTGTGTGAAAAAAATGTCATATGGGTACAATGTTGCATGACCGCGCAATTGTCATTCAAAGTGC